CCCCGCCAAAAAAAAGGGGGGGGGGGAGGAAAACAGCCGTGTCCCATAGTTGTCAAGGCTATCAGCTTAGCAGTTCGGCTCCACTCCACCCCGCACCAGTCTGTGATCGGTGGTGTCCAGCTGTGCTCAGGCCGGCGGTGCATGTTGACCGGCACAGGGGGGGGGGGGGGGCGGGCGGTTACTCCTCTATTCCTCAGGTTTAGTTTGCCGGAGGGGGGCGTAAGGGGCACCCGGTCCTTGTTGGATGGTGCGACGGGTAGGCATCCCTGTGAAGCGTTCGTTGACCGGGCACTCCATCCAGTCCGGGATAGGGATGCGGGGGAGGTCAAGGGCTTCCTGGAAGGCCTGGTCATCCTGTGGTGTCCGTATGGTAGCTTCGGTGTTCCCATCTATAGCGTATCTGGGAGTCCTGCATGGCAGCAGTGAGGGGCTGCAGCGAACCTCCAGGCCTGCAGGGTGAGGTGGGAGAGGTTGTTGTAGATCTCGATTGCCTGCCTCCAGGTACGTTCCATGCAAGCTTTCCTCATAATCTCTTCCTTAAATTGGAAGTCCTGTATGCGGCAGATTATGTCGCTGGGGGGGTGAGCCCTGGGGGGGATTTGGGCCTTAACACCCTGTGGGCCCTGTCCATGTGGATGCGGGCGTCCCTGGGCTGGCCCAGTATGCAATTAAATAGCGTGATCAGTATGTCTCTGGCGTCCTCAGGGGCGTCACTTTCCCTGCAGCCTCTTACCCTTATATTGTGCCTGCGGCTGCGATTCTCGAGGTCCTCGACGTGGAGGCGCAGGTCCATTATGTGCTTGGCTTGTGCTTCTGTGGCTGATATTGCAGGGCAGTGTGGGTCAGAGCCTTGGGATTCTAGGGCCTGTACCCTCGCCTCTAGTGCTGTGAGTGAGGGGCTGAGGGCCGAGATTTCCGTTCGCAGCGTGGTTTTAACCTTCTCTAGGAGGGACTGGAAGTCTTCTTTTTTTGGAAGTGAGGCAAAGAGGACATACCAGTCCGGCGTCTGCGGGGTAGGTAAGCTGGTTTCCATGCGCGGGCATTCTTCTGATAGCATGGAGCCTGCAGAGGAGGGCGCCTCCTGTGAGAGAAAGACTCCTGGTGTGTGCAGATAGCTGCGGATCGATGGGTGCAGGTTGTTCCCTTGTGTTTTTGGCATGGAGGCGGTCATTTGGGCTCGTTTAGTGCGTCCCATGGGTGCCAGGGTGTACTGTTGAGTTGTGCTTTGATGCAGCCGGGAACGAAGCTAGGGAATTAGGCGGCCATTCTCGTTCATCACCAAGCCACTCCCCCGTGCCCCCAATTTTAATCTAATTTTAACTCATAATCAACCAAAGGAAATTGCAAGTAAACAGTTTATGAATGATAGAAAAGGTTTTTATTCTTGTGGTAAATGAACTGGATGTAAATATAGTAGAAATAAATCCCTAAAAGGCATAGGAAAATTTAAAAGTACATATAGTGAATTACATGCAGCATCTATCCTCAGCCCCTACTCTTCAACCCGTTGTTATATTAAGCATCTATTTGGTCTACCTGCTGAAATGTGCAAAACACACAGATGTATAGTTAATCAGGAGGGGTCAGGCTGTTTCCCACTATAAGCATGATACCCAGCATAGTTATATACTTTGACTAAGTCATTATTGGTGGTAATCAATATCAGTTCCTACGAAATATAATCACTATAACAAAACCTGTTTCATTATCATTCCCAAGCACTGTATAGTGTTCATGATTGTTCATGTGAAATGAATGTAATATTGATGATTTTATTACTTGTTTTACAAGAAATGTTATTTCTCTTTTAATTTGTCTATGTGGGCAACAATAAGTGGGTCGTACTATACGCCCACTTCATAAGCGAATAGGGAAACATGTTAACAACATTTTAAGATGAGTTACCCAACATAGTGTTTCAGCACATTTCAAATTAAAACATAATATGGACCCCAGAGGTTTGATTTTTCTAGGTATACAAGTAGTAAATAAATCTCATAGAGGGGGTGACCATATTTCAAAAATAGGGAGAGAAGAAATGAAATGGGTGCATAGACTAAAAACATTGGAACCACATGGTTTAAATCTAGAGTTTGATCTTTTTATTTTTTCCACATTTTTTTTTTCCAATGTAGTTTTTATTGGGTTTTTGTTTCATTGTTTACAAAAACTGAACAGTGGGTAATACGTAGTATCACAAGAATACAAAAAGTTGTGGATACAAGGTAACAATAGGTATAACATATAGCACGGTAACAAGTAATCAAGGAGCATGTACAAGGGTTCCCATACGGCTCCTAGTTTCATGGGGGAGTCTACACAGTTGCGGTGGTGCTTTATGCGCTCGTTCATTGAGAGTCCTATACAACATTTATGCGCTTATCGTGGGTTTCTATTCTGAGGATTGTCACGGGTTGGGGGTGTCTGTCCGTTCGTCACACAGCTCTTATTGTTTGTTGTCGTATAACGCTACCCAGGGGGCCCAGGTCGTGTGAAATCTTTGTGTCGTTTTTGCGTCAGGAGCGGTCATACGTTCGTACGTGTAGTATTGCTGTATTTTATCCCATAATGTGGCTTTGGTAGGACAGAGTGTGGATTTCCAGTTGCAGGCTATCAAATTACGAGCTGCCAGGATGGTGATTGCACTCAGTTGTTTGTGTGTATATTTAAATGATGGGGGGAAACGCATAAGTAGGAATAGTTCGGGGTGGTTTCCTCTGTGTGGGACATTAAGGGCACTTAGAGTGTTTTGTACTTCTACCCAGAGGGGTTGAATGTTGGGACATGACCACCATATGTGCGTATGTGTGCCTGTCTCCGCCGAGCATCTCCAGCAGAGAGGAGACGTATTGGGGTAAATTTTATGGAGAGTGTAGGGAGTTAAGTGCCATCTGTACAGTAATTTCCTATGTGCTTCTATATGGGTGTAGCACTTAGTCCATTTAGATATGGCGTTCAATGCATGAATCCATTCGTCATCCGTGAGTTGGATAGTGCATTCTGTTTCCCACATTGCTTTGCAATGTGGTGCTGCGTTGGGTAAGGTACTGTCCCATGTCCTATAACAGAGGGAAATACTGTTCTTTTTCATAGGGCCTTTCCAGCATCTTTCTATTACTGCCTTTGATGGAAGGGGGCTCTGTTCAGGGGATTGTTGTTGCTTGTTTACATGTGTGTTGATGATCCCTTTTAGTTGTAAGTATGTGAAAATAGTGTTTGTTGGCAATTCCCATTTCGTTTGTATGTCTGTGAAGGGTAATATTTCTTGCGATTGCATTATCTGGTGAATATGTCTAATGCCTGCATGTACCCAAGTCTGTAGACGCATGTCTGGTGATATGGCTCTTAAGGCGGTTAGAGGTGAGTTGGGGTGGAATTTTTCTTTGGCCCCTACTGTATCTAGGAATTTAGACCAAATGTGGACGGTCAGTGTTGTGGTGGGGTATAGGTTTGGTTTGACTGGTCTAAGTTTTTTCGGTGTCCATAGGTAGTCGAGCGTTGCGTTTTTGTCCAATTGGGCTTTTTCCATGTCTACCCATTGGATGATACCTCGATTTAAGTGCAACAGTATGCCCGATGCCAGCATCGTGGCTTTATAATACTGGTTTAGGTTGGGTAACCCTACTCCTCCTTTTGTAGGATGTTTGTAGAGTATGGTGCAGGATATGCGCGGTTTCTTGTTCCCCCATATGAATGAGCTGCAGATGTTTTGTAGGGAGTTGAGGAGTGTTTGTGGGGCTTGGATGGGAAGCATTCTAAATATGTAGAGAAGTTTGGGTAGTAACATCATCTTGTATGCGTTAATTTTTCCTAGCCAGAAGATATGCGTCTGAGACCATTTTTGTAGGTCTCTCTTGCATTGTTGGGGAAGCGTGAGGTAATTTAGTTTCAGGATTTCTTCTATTGTTGGTGCTATTTTTACGCCTAGGTATGTTAGTGATGTCTTTCTCCAGTCAAAAGGGTAGTTATCTTTCAGTATTGTTTTGGTGGCTAGTGTGAGTCCGACGGGAAGGGCCTGGGTTTTATCTTGATTCAGGCGGTAATGGGATATGTCGCCGAATGTTTTCAGGGTTTCCATGAGGGGAGGCAAAGACCACTGGGGGTCCCCTAGCGTTATCAGGATATCGTCGGCGAATAGCGCCAATTTATATTCCTGTTCTTGAATTGTGATTCCTTTTATGCAAGGGTCTGTGCGTATTGTTTGGGCCAATGGTTCTAGCGACAGGATGTATAGGAGGGGGGACAGGGGGCAGCCCTGGCGTGTTCCGTTAGTGATCGTGAATTGGTTAGATAGGAAGCCACCGTGTGCTACTTTAGCTGCTGGCGATGCGTAGAGTGCCATGATTCCTTTGATGAATTCAGCAGGGAATCCATATTTGGAGAGCACTTGTCGCATGTATGTCCAGTTGAGTCAGTCGAAGGCCTTCTCCGCATCTAGTGCTAGGAGGAGGCCCCCGACCGACCCCCTACCCATTGAGGTTAATATGTTGAGGGTTTTCCGAGTGTTGTCCGATCCCTGTCTCCCCCCCACAAACCCCGATTGATCATTGTGTATCAGTTGTGCAATTATCTGGGCCAGTCTGTTGCTCAATATCTTTGCATATAGCTTGGCGTCACTGTTTAGCAGAGATATTGGCCTAAAGTTTTTGCAGATATTCGGGGGTTTCCCTGGCCTGGGTAGTGTGGAGATGTGGGCTAGCAGCATTTCTGAGGGTAGCGTTCCCGTGTCATTACAGTGTTGGTATACGTTTAAGAGGTGTGGTGTAATGTGTTGGGAGAATATTTTATAATATCTGTTCGGAAGACCGTCTGGTCCTGGTGCTTTGTTAACCGGTAGGTCTGTTATGGCTTTAGCTAGTTCTTCGGCGGATATCGGTTGTTTGAGTTTGTGGATGTCGTCTTGTGTAAGTGATGGTAAAGTAATGTTTGCCAGAAAGGCGTCAATGGTAGTCGCGGAGGGTATTTGCACTGTTTCGTCCTCTTTTAGATTATACAGTTTGTGGTAATAGTTGGCAAATTAGTTTACAATTTGTTTCGGATCTAGAATTTTTAAACCATTGTTGTCAATAAGGGAGGCAATCCTGGATGCGACCGATTTTTGTTTGAGTTGTGCAGCCAGTTTTGCTCCGGCTTTGTTACCATAAGTAAAGTATTTGTGTTTGGATTTTTGTAATAAGTAAGTGGTTTTGGCCAGTTCGTAGTCTCTTAGTTGTGACTGGGCTTTTAGTAAGGCTGCTTGTGTAGTGGGTGTTTGAGATTGTTTATTTTTATGTGTAAGTGCAGTTATCACTTCTATTAATTGTACATATTGGGCTTGGCGTGTTTTTTTTGCTTGGCTTGCGTGTTTAATGAAGCTGCCCCTTATCATAGCCTTGTGGGCTAGCCATAAGTATTCTGGCGTAGTACCCGATCCTGTGTTTTCAGTAAAATAGTTTTGTAGATCTGTGGTAATCTGTGAGATTATTACTGGGTCGTTAAGCAGAGATTCATTGAGTCTCCAGGTTGATCTGCCGGTAGACGGGAATTG